ACAACACTGATGCATTCGCCTAGAGTTCGTCTACCCACCCAATAGTCAACGCCTGATGAACTGAACGATAATTTGCGCGCAGCGGTCATGGATGCTGCTCTGTCACCTGGTATGTCTAAGCGGGCCAATTTACAGGCGCTTCAAGATACAAATAACCCTGGTTTGATCGTGAGTGCGAGAGGCTTTTGGACTGCAAATTGAGTTCCCTTAGAAAAATGAGAGATTCTGGATCTAAGCCGGACATTGAGACGTTTCGACAAGCGAGACGCAACTATAGAGAAGCAAAAAAGGCGAAAAAAACAGCCTATGAGGAGGAGATTACGAGGAACACGGCATGGGTGAGCAACTCAAAGGTATTCTGGCCTACAGTTCATAAGTTTTATCACAAGTCCGGTAAGAAACCGTCCAGCATCTCGCCAGACCAGCGGACATCGTTCTTAAGCTCCTGTTACCCCCCCCCCTCCCCCTGTAGGGATTGAGGTGTGTCGGGAAGGTAACAATCCACTAACAAATGCAATTAAAATAATAATTACAGATTTGTTATCCGCGTCAAATTAATACAAAGGTGAAGAGAAAATAATATGATCCGATCAAGTGTATGATACGAGCTGTACTGTTAGACTGCATTATATTTGCACGGAAAGGTATCAGCGAGACTGCCGAATATCCTTACGATTTGACGAATCAGAAAATAATACGCGTGGCACTGAAGATGCGAGTGAGACGGCAAATGCCTGTGCTCGTCGTCAGCCAGTATTCGCGTTTTAGGATGTAGCGAGGCGCTACATGACTCCCCTGCTTGAAGTAAAAAACATAGTTTTTTTGAATCTGTAACAGAAAAAAATTATTCTAGGAACAGGAAAATTTGTCAGGTTTGGCAAGCAGGTGAAGAAAACAATTTTGAATGAGGAGACTTAGACGTGCTAGACGTGAATTGTCGGTCTGTTGGCGAATGTTACGCCTCTCTTCTGTCTTCCAGCTGCGGGTGCCATGCTCGTGCTCGGCTGCGGCTGGTCCTGTTGTTGAGGCTCGTCGGGTACGTCTTGTTGCGGAGTCTGTCCTGGAAGCTGATCCATGTTCTCCGGCAGTATGTACGCTGGTTTCAGTCGGTCGGTGGAGATCGGTGTGTTCTTGTAGTTTCCCAAACCTCCAGACTTGAACCAGATGACGAAATATTTGTCGTGGCAACTGATGACGCGAAATGGGCCGATGTATGGTGGTCGGGATGCCATTCTCACGTGGTCGTCGCGAACGAAAACATGCGTACACGTTGATAAGTCCTTGAAGATGAACATTGAACGTGTACCATGGTGTGCAGCTGGAACAGGCACGATTGTACGAAAATGTTCGCGTAGATTTCTCACCAATTCCGGTGCTGCCGTTTGTTGGTTTGCTGGCACGAGGAACTCTTCGAGTAGACGGATAGGTTCCCCATACGTTAGCTCAGCAGAGGTCGTTTGAAGGTCGCCCTTCTACGCGGATCTCAATCATAAAAGTACCAGGGGAAGTGCGTCGAACCAAGCTCCGCCGTGACATCGCAGTACTGCTTTTAGTTGGCGATGTAGCCTCTCAACCAAACCATTTGATTCAGGGTGAAAAGGCGTTGTCAGGTCCTCTTGGTGCCTAGGATTCGCGTGAGCTCCTTGAACGTGTCTGAGAAGAACTGACCACCTTGATCAGACGAAATTCTCAGAGGTATTCCGAAGCGTGCGATCCAATGGCAGAGAATCGCATTAACTACTGTAGGCACTTTTGCATCAATCAATGGAACTGCCTCTGGATACCGCGTGAATCGATCGACGAAACATCAGCTGTGTCCTTTTGAGGCAGGAAGAGAGATAAGATCGACGTGTATGTGTTCGAAACGTCGTGATGGTGTCTTGATTTCAGCTATTGGTGTAACCGCGAGTCGCTTGACTTTGTTTTTCTGGCATTCCCGGCAGTGTTTGCTCCATTCAGAGCAGTTTTTATTCATGCTGGGCCAGACGTAGCGTTGCGTGATGAGTTTCCGTGAACCTCTGCATCCAGGATGAGCCATTGAGTGCAGCGAGTTGGATATTTGGTGTCTCAGCTGGGCATCACAGTACAGTGGTTCGTCCATTTCTGGAAGTTGCAGGCGGTCCAGTCGTAGATTCACGTCCGGTCGCTGGAGTAGCCGTTGAAGCTCTTGGTCGTCGCGTTGGGCATCTATGAGCTGTTGAATTGTGACAGCAGTTGAGACGGCTTCGAGTCGTGACAGAGCATTTGCCACGACGTTGTCTGGGCCTGCGACGTACCGGATATCCGTAGAGAATTGGGCGATGTATTCCAATCTTCGGTATTGCCAGGGTGAAGCTCGTTCTAGTTTTCGCTTGAACGCGTGAGTCAGCGGTTTATGGTCAGTGATAATTATCACATGACGCCCTTCAAAGATGTGTCTGAAGTGCAGTACCGCTTTGTCGATTGCTTGCAGTTCCCTGTCATAAACCGCGTGTTTCTGCGAGGAAATCGTGAGTTTCCTGCTGAAGAATTGAAGCGGTTGCCAGGAATTGCGGTGTTTCTGCTGTAAAACGGCTCCAATCGCATAATCTGACACGTCTGTGGAAATGGCCCACTCTGCTTCAATATTTGGATCAGATAATAGAGTGGCCTCTGCCAGAGCCTGTTTGCTGCGCGTGAAGGCTTCTTCAACGGCTGGAGTCCAGGTTACTGGATGCTTTCCTTTGACGTTTAGACCCTGGGTTGCCGCGTTCAGTGGGGCAAGAATTTCTGCTGCTCCCTTGATGAACTTCCGGTAGAAATTTAAAGTACCGAGGTACTTGCGCAGTGCTTTTACAGTAGTAGGCCTCGTGAATTCGAGAATCGCATTGGCTCGATCTCTGGGAGGCTTAATTCCCTGGGCGTTGATCGTGTGTCCAAGGAAAATGACCTCTGGCTGCCCCAGGACTGATTTGGCGACGTTTACCATCAATCCGTAGTCCTGTAGGCGTTGAAAAAGTATTCTCAGGTGTTCGCGATGTTGTTATTCGTTGTCCGATGCTACCAAAATGTTATCTATGTATGGAAACAGAAATGGTAGATCACGTGTCACTTCATCTATTAGGCGTTGAAAGGTTTGAGCCGCGTTCCTGAGGCCGAAAGTCATGTACGGAAATTCAAAAAGTCCAAAAGGCGTGATTATGGCGGTCTTTTGGATGTCCTCAGATGCAACTGCAATTTGATTAAATGCTTTGACCAGATCTATGGTAGAGAAAATTGTTTTGCCATACAAGGTGGCAGCAAAATCCTCTAAATAACCAACAGGGTACTTATCTGGTATAGTTCTGTCGTTGAGTGCGCGGTAATCTCCGCCGCATGGTCTCCATTCGCCGTTCTTTTTCGGGGCCAAATAGAGCGGAGATGACCAAGGACTTTCACATCTCCTTGCAGTTCCCATTTTCAACATGCTCGAAAATCTAGCATGCGCGATTTTGAGTTTATCTGGCGCCAAACGGCGCGCTCTGCAGGAGATAGGTGGTCCCGGTGTCGTTCTAATGTGAACCACACATATTCAATTTTTCTTGAAGTTTGGAAAACAAGTCTTTCGACTTGATTGAAGTTGTATTGAACGCCCCATTTACAAATCTTGGGGTTTCAGAAATCCGATCCACCCCTACCGTCACCAAGCCGTATTTGACGTTCAGGAAAACGGGGCAAATTCTGAAAAATTTAAATTATTTTTCTGCAGAAAATGGACACATATTTAGCACTCCACTATCGACTACTGGTTATCCCGATTCGATACCATTGGTCTTCTAGGTAAACGGCTGAACCTCAAAAATTTTTTTCGACCACAATATTTAAGCAGAACAATTTTTTTTCTGTAGAAAAAAAGCACATGAATAGCACCTATTTTTGAGCTATAGTAGACTGCCCATTATAGTCGCACTCGATACATTCGCATTTCCTTTCCTATCGATTATTCTTGGCTCAGCCGCTTCCCCCACTCTACCACCTATGGGCCCCGGAGTAAACACTCCAGAATTATCTTCGAGGGGGCATTGTTTTTTAATTTGAGGAAAGCCGAAAAATAGAATACTCTAAATAGAAGTTTTTCATAATGAAATTAGGCTCCCTCTAGACTACCTAGAGAGAAGTTCTAGTTTTACTGAGATAAGATGAATTGGATAATGGACCAGAGTAGAGAAAATAACAGCAACATTGCGAATAAAAAAAGTTAAAAAAAAGAGAATTAAGGTGAATCCTACATCTAAAACTGGATGATCAAAACCACTTTGATGAGAAAAAACATTTCTTAATAAAAACAGCCTTTGATTACACAAAAAAAAATTAAATGTGTATTGAAATGTGAAGCTAATGATTGACATTATTTAATCACACGTTAAATTCAATGAAACAAAAAATAAATTCTTACTATTTCTATTTTATGGCTCCCAGTTCTCGCACGTGCGTGAAATCGTCGTGGAGGTAGAAATACAGTCGCTAGTCTGGTAATTTTACGGAGCTAGAAATTGTCACATCTCAATAATTTTTCCTACCATTAACACAATTCTCCACCCACGCATACACACATCTAAGTACATAACTTTTTCATGTTTCATAACATTCTGAGTCAGCTTCACTCGAAATTGGATTTTAAAAAATCGCGTTTGTAAAATTTGCATTCCGAAGCAGAAGAAAAAAAAATTAAAACGGAGGATACAAGAATCCATGGCTCTTTTGCCCCTCACGACAAAACAAGAGGTGATGAAATTCTTGTTTTGTTTCGTAGCAACACTAAGCTTGATGAGAGTGAAAGGAAGATTTTATCAGGAACCATACCGCTCCGCCTCCTTCCCCCCATCATTCCGTGCGGTTATTTTCTTCCAACATGAAACGTATAAAAGTTCAGTGAACTTTATTTTTTCACCACGATAGTGTAGCTCGTAATGCAAGTTTCAAAATCATACACGTGCTCTTTTTTTCCGAATCACCAGAATAAATTATTCGTAAGTTCATTTGTCAATTATTAATGATTTCAGGGAGCTCTAATCACATGTATAGCATGTGACGAAGCTTACCACTACGTTTGTCACACGCCTCGAGTCCCTTCTTCCAAATCCCATTCAAAATGGCATTGCAGTACCTGTGCTGAGAAGAAGTCAGCGAAGGTGCCTCCAGTGACAACACAAGAGAAGATCCAGTCCTCTCGTCCTGAAACTCCGATAAATCCTACACAATTACCACCAGTTCTGAGCCCTCAAGTCTCTCCAACTAGGGGAGCAATTGATCATAATGATGATGAGGTTTTTTCTCGTGATGGAATTGATCCTAACATTCCCGATGCTTCGGATTGGACATCGGAACAGGTTTATCAGTATTTCGCGAGGCTTTTTCCGAAGGAGGCTGAGGTGTTCAGAGTGCAGGTGTGTAAAAATTAATAATTCATCGATTTTCATTACAGGGATTGGTTGATTTGGTATGAGAGTCATTATTCTTCCAATTGATTGGAACAAGAGAGGTTCATTGGAATGTATCCGAAAACATTTTATATGGAGATTTAGTACCATGATGGGCCCCAACATTCGTGACACTCTATTACTCACAGTTTCAAAGGAAGTGGTGCGAGGCGTTCTACGCTATTTCAGTAGGCCAAAAATTGTTTTCCTTTGAAGGGTTCAAATATGTTATAAAAGAGGTGGTACAGTAATTTCTCAAAAAGCCACGAAGATAAAATTTTTTACAAAAATTATGCGAAAATAGTATATTGTGCATCAAGGGCGGAACGTGAAGACTCCGCTCGACGTGCACATGCAATTTTTTTACACACCTGCAAAGGAAAGTTTGCATTTTGCTCTTTCATGAGCGGGAGGAAAGTATGAACTTTCCGTGTAGGGGTGTGAAAAAGTTTGTATTTTGCTTTCTGATGAGCGGGAGGAAAGTGAATACTTTCCGCTTAAGGGTGGAAAGTTGTTCCCGAAGAAGGGAAATACTGACTTTCTGTCCTTGGGCGGAAAGCAATCCGTACTTTCCGCTTGAGGCCAAGTATAAATTTTCTGTGCAGGGGTGTCAAAATAGTAGATTGTACACCAAGGGAGAAAAACAGGACATTCCAACCGGTGCGGTAAACACACAGGTTTGAATGTCTTGTGATGCTTTCTAGGTGCACATACAATTTTTCGTTATAACTGCACGGTACAGGTCAATTTTTTTTCATAAATGCAAGGAGGAATGTGGGTTATGTAATGCCGAGGATCGTCAAAAACAACAGAAATCCGAAGAATGAAATAAGCCACTTTCCTCCCGTCATTTGGGGAGGAAAATCGAACATTCCGTGCTGATATGACGAAAAGTCATTTTTTATAGTATCTGAACTTGATAAATATGAGTTGTATCGAAAAATTGAATAATTACGTTTTTATTACCAAGAACAATAGAGTTATATAAAAAAATGATCTTGAAAAAAAGTCGAATTCACAATAAATTTGTAGATAAACAAATTTTTTTCACACCCCTGCACGGAAAGTTCATACTTTCCACCCTAGGATGGAAAGTTCCTCGCTTTCCTCTCGCTCATCAAAGAGCAAAATACGAACTTTCCTTTGCAGGCGTGTTAAAAAATCACATTGATGCACAATACACTATATAAAAGTGGTGAAAAAACATGATGATAGTAAGCAAAAAACGAACGAATGAAAATATACGTTAAAGAGTGCATCTAAGGGATTGACGGTTATATTTTCGCCATCTGTATGAATATGAGGCTTGAAATATTATTAATTCCCCGAGAACACGTCAAGCTAATTTCCCCACTGCGCTAATTAGTATCCAATCCGTTACATAAATAAATATTTATATCCCTACTTATTTTAATACTTGGTTCGACACAGAGAAAAATACTTCTGGTGGTACGTCAACTTTTTCGCTCATTATAAAAGTATCATTTTGAAAATTAATTTACGTGTCACTAGAAGTATTTTTCTCAGTATCGGATCAAGTATTAAAATAAGCATCAATGCAAATTAAAATTTATGTAACGCACTGAATGCTGAAATGAATCCGCCTTAGTCTATTGATACTTGGTTCCATACTTGAATCGATACCCATATTAATACTTTGGTTGTACATGAATGTACCCAGCAATTGATACCAGGTTTCTTGCTCTGTATTTGAGTGGAGTATTGCAATGAGTACTATTGAAATATCGATTTATTTTATGCATTACAAGAAAGATTGCATCCTGCTTTTATTTTTGGACATTCGGAAAATTATATCGCTCAATTATATGTAAACTTGCCCTCTATCATCTACTGACATTGCCAATATAGTATGTACCTTTATGCCACTAGTCATTTACCCTGTATACGTATTATGAAAGAGGGATGCTATTTTACCTCCAATGTTCCTATAGGAAACACCCAACGTTACATACGTATATACTGCGACGTATTTCGCCAATTTTATGTCACCTATTAGACTCTCGTTTCGCCATCGCCGTGTGATATTATTGATTGCGATCAAAATCACTGAACTCGAGAGAATTTTAACAAACTAAATGGCCGACAAATGAGCGATATGAATGAGTAAAGAATTTAATGGATCCGAAAAATATATTATCCGGTGACTGTGATTATAATCAAACCACATTCACTAGATAATACTTTTATCGCCTGGTGACATAATATACTATTATGGCCGTGGTGAATACTACCACTTACGTTCACCAGTGAACCACTAGAGTCATCTGTGAGAAAATGGCGGACCCGACATTCTCAATCTCACAGTTTTATTGTCGAGCGGCAGACTCGTGAAAGAGACGACTCAACCTGGGCAGGTTTTGCCCTCAAGTGAGGTTTTTCCTCGTCCTTCGGCGAATGCGGTATAGCGGGTTGGGGGCGGGGGGGGGGGGGGGGGG